TCTTTTTTTTGGAAAATAAAATCCATTAAGATCATCGGATCCTAACAATGGTGCACTAGCCGGTTTTTTTAATTTATTGGAATTATTTCAATTAATTGAAAAATATATATTAAGTCCCGCGTGGCAAGCTTTACGTTTTGATATTAATGAGTAGTACTACAACTCGATCAAAAATAGATTTATCAAAAATTAAGATTGATACTTTAAAATATATTCCACCATCCAGATTACCAATAAAACAAAACATGACAATTTCAACATCTTCAAATGAAGTGTTACATGATGAAAATCAACTTATTGAAATTAAACCCGGTGAAGAAGTGAAGGCAGCGGATGGTCATGAATTAAATGATCAATTCGTAGATTCACAACCTACACATCGGGAACTTATAAAAGAAGAACTAAAAACATTGGAGAAATTTACTGGTGGGGGTGATGCAGAGCAATGGTTAACATCAGTATTGAAGAAATTTGAATTATTGCAAGTGGATATGGATGATCGTATTGCATTTATACCTAGTGTAATAACAGGTGAAGCATTTATTTGGTTTGTACAAAATGAACAACATATGCTGACATTTATATCTTTTGCAAAATTATTTTTACAACGTTTTGCTTCAACAAAAATCGAAGGTCGAACAACTACATCAACTGATCTTATTTCAAATCAACAACAATTAATAATAACGAATGGATTACAAGATGATGTGTTTAGTTCATTAAGAAATCAAATGTTATTAAGTCATATCGAAAAATTACCAAAATTCTCAGGTCGATCGAAACAAAATGTTTCAAAATGGCTCCGTGAAATAAACCAAACCATGATTTTATTGAAGCTATCTGATATGGAAAAATTATTTTTTATTCCATCGATCTTAGATACTGAAGCAAAAGAGTGGTTCTTTGACAATCAACATGCATTCTCATCTTGGTCATTATTTGTACAAAAATTAATTGGTACGTTTGAATCTTCTAGCAAAGCTGATATTGCATTTAATCGTTTACGACAATATCAACAAGGTTTAAATCAAGATGTGCGACATTATTATTTTGAAATTATGAAATTATGTAAAGAAGCAAATCCAACTATGGATGAATCTACTAAACTTCAATATTTAAAAGATGGATTGAAAATATCTTTACGATTTGATATTCTTTTAAAAAATCCAACAACGACAGAAGATTTTTTAGAATACGCACAAAAAATTGAAGAATTGAAATCACTTGATGAACAACAAGGTATTGGTGAGACGCCTCCACAACATTCAACATCAAATAAATCAAATTTATCGCGAAATGTTTCGAATGCATCATCATATAATAATAATGTATCAACATATAATAATAATGCATTATCATATAATAATAATGTACCAACATATAATAATAATACACGAGCAAATAATAATAATTCATCAAAGCAACAACAACAAAATAATAGTGTACCAAAACCACCATATCGATGTTACAAATGTAATGGCACTGATCATTTTATTAATCAATGCCCCCATTTTCAGTAGTAGGATCATCGTTTGATGGTGATGATCCTTCTCAATTACAAATAAACCCATCACCAATATTTATTGTTGCTAAAGTTAATAGTATTACAACAAAAATTATGTTTGATTCAGGTTCATCACGATCTTTTATTAAGAAATCTATTCTTGATAAAACGAATCATTTACCAATACAATCTAATAGTCAATCTTATTTAATGGCAGATGGTCATTCAACGTTTACTATTCTTGGTACAGTACAAATTTATATTGATTTACATAATTTACAAACTAGTATTATTGTTGGTATTGTCGATAATTTATGTGTTGATTGTTTATTAGGAATGGATTATATGAATAAATATTATGTTAATCTTAATAATAAAGAAAAACAAATTTACATTCACGCACAAGATATTATGGTTTCAATTCCAATGGAAATTGTTATAAAAGATTTTATTTTACCATGTCGATCTACTAAAACTATTTATATTTATCCACAAGAAGAAAAACAAATACAAATCATATGTGAAGTTCCATCTGGTCATATGTTATTTTCACCTAATAATAATTTGAACAATAAAGGTTTAGTTACTGCACATGCAATTATTTCAGTAGTAAATTATACAGCTACTGTATTTGTTTACAATTCCACCATGAGATCACAACAATTAAATTATCAAGAAATTATTGGTGAAATTACCCCTTATTGTTCTACAGCATTTATAGCTATGATTTTTGATCCACAAACAAAAACGTTGGTGGATGAAAATCAATCACAATCATTAACATCAAATAGTGAAAGTAATATTCAGGTTCTATTAGATCATATTGATGATCAACAACAAGTAAATCAAATTTGGTCAATATTTAAGAAACATCATCAATTGTTTGATACAACAACAACAACTATTGCTGATATTGATACATCACATGTTATTTGTACTGAAAATAAACCTCCAACTACATCTCGACCTTATCCACAAACAATTGACAAACAAAATGCTACTTTTGAAATTATTCAACAGATGATCAAAAATAAACAAATAAGACCATCGTATTCTCAATATTCGGCACCAATTATATTAATCAAAAAGCGTGATGGATCTTATAGATTTATCGTTGATTACCGTAAACTTAATAACATCACCATTCAAGATAAATTTCCATTACCAAATCTTGAACAAGCACTTCAGATAGTAGGCGGTCGATGTTATTATTCAAAGTTGGACCTTCGGTCGGGTTACTTTCAAATTCCGATCAAGGAGGAAGATAAATTTAAAACAGCCTTTATCACCACGCATGGTCTTTTCGAATTTAATGTTTTGGCCCAAGGCCTTAAGAATAGCCCGCCATCCTTTCAACGCACTATGTCAAATTTATTATTACCGTGTAAAAAATTTTCCATAGTCTACTTAGATGATGTTTTAATTTATTCGGATAATTTTGATCAACATTTACAACATGTCAATCAAGTTCTGGCTATATTAAATAAACATAAATTTCAACTTAATCCACCAAAATGTGAAGTATTTTGCAAAAACATAAATTATTTGGGTCATACAATTAGTTATGATGGTGTAAGACCACTACAAGAACGCATTGAAAAAATTTTATCTATTCCACAACCTGTATCATTAGCTCAAGCAAATGCTTTTATAGGTGCAATAGGTTGGTATCGCAAATTCATCAATAATTATGCAAGTATAGCTGCTCCTATATTAGCTGTTACTAATTTAACTAAAGCACACAAACATAAATTTCATTGGGATCAAGATCAACGTGTTGCTTTTGAACAATTAAAAACTGCTCTCATTACTGAACCACTATTTCTTACATATCCTGATAATGATCTACCTCTAATATTAGCAACCGATGCTTCTGATAATTGTATTGGTGGTGTATTATATCAAGAAGATGATAATGGTCAACGAAAAAATATTTATTTTCATTCGCAAATGTTACCAAAACCGCAGCGTAAATGGCCTACGATCGAGAAAGAAGCATTAGCTATTTATTATTGTGTTTCACGTATGAAGTTATATTTATTAGGACGTGAATTTACTGTATATACAGATCATTGTCCATTACGTGATATGCATTTAAAACCATCAAATAATCGTCGTGTTGATCGTATATCATTAATATTACAACAATATAATATTAAAGAAATTTCTCATATATCAGGTAAGTGTAATTGTATGGCTGATTATTTATCTAGATATCCTCGACAAGTTGATGATGATGATGATTTTATTGAACCTGATTATGGTACAGTTATGGGTCTTCAACATGGTTGTGCAGCAATTACTAGATCTAGAACAAAAGCACAAGTGCCTGTTCCAGACATTATTGTTAATGATTCACCATCAAGTGAAGCTTCGGTAACAAATGATCATCCTTCGTGTGAGGAAGGTCATGATTTTGACGTTACCAAGATAGGTGATGCTCAAAAGCAAGATTCATTTTATCAAGAACAAATTCATAAATTACAACAAGCTTCAGCTAATAGTTCATTCGAATTAACAAATGATATACTTTATAAAATAGTTAAACGTGGCATTAATAAACAAACATTAATTTATATACCGTCAGTATTAGTCTCACAAGTGATAGAAGTTTATCACGGTTCGTCATGGGCTGGTCATTTTGGTTTTCGCCGAACTTATAATAATTTGAAAGATCGTTATTGGTGGCCAAATATGAAAGAAACAATTCGAACCCATCTTCAAGCTTGTTTAAAATGTCAAAAATTTAATTTTGCTCGTCACAAAGCACATGGTTTTCTTCATCCGATTGAATCACCTAGTGGTCCATTCCAAATGATTGGCATAGATTATTCTGGACCTTTTCCAACAACAACACAAGGAAACAAATATGTTTTAGCAATCACAGATTATTTTACTAAATGGGTTATAGCAATTCCTGTTGAAAAGCAAAATGCACAAACAACAGCTACAGTTTTATATGAACATTATATTTGCATCTATGGTGTACCTCATCAAATTTTGTCAGATCAAGGAACACCGTTTAATAACCAATTAATTGAAGCATTTACAAAAATATTAGGATGTCATCATATAAAATCTACTCCATATCACCCCCAAACAAACGGTGCAATCGAAAGATTTAATGCTACCTTTGAACGACAATTAGCGAAGGTTACAAATGTTCATATGAATGATTGGGATATTCATTTAAAGTCCATTATATTTGCTTACAATATTGGTAAACATGCATCGACTGAATTTTCTCCTTATCAATTACAGTTTGGACGTCATCCAAATTTACCACCTGATAAACCAAAAGATAAATATGAATTTTTAAAACCAAATGATTATTTTCAATTTTTTAGACGTACACTAACATTATATCATCGTCATGCAAGAGAAAATATTATCAAACATCAACAATACTATAAAACAAATTATGATGTTCATCGTGCTAATCCTCATTTTAATGTTGGTGATCGAGTATTAAAAAAATTATCGACTTCTCGTAATAAATTATCGTCAATATATTCTGATCCTATGGTAGTTATTAAAATTCAACACCCAACTTATTGGATTGAAGATAAATCAACAAATAGAGTATATCAAGTACATGTATCAAGTTTAAGATCATGTCATATTTAAATAAAAATTCTATTATTATTATTTCTTGACCATTACGTCATCTATCATATGGTCAGTGTAACTATTCTGTCATTGGTGATTATGTTTATGTTATTTTATTGGTGGTCACTTTGTTGTTTACATTTTGTTTTTTATTTTTATTCATTATTATATGCTGATATTATTCTAGTCGATATTGGTGATCATCTCATTATATATATTTAGTCATTAGTAACGTTAACTTGTTAATTTTATTATTTACGTATTTTCACATATATTTTTTTTTGGTTTCTCATTTATATTTTTGGTTATATTTAATCTTCCTGGTAGTTCATGTTAATGGTGATATTATGGTTTTCATCTTGATTATAATTCATATTTTCATGTCATTATGTATTTCTTATTTCTATTAAGGATTTACTTGGTTTAATTATATATGGTTAGTTATTTTGTTGGTTATGAATTATAATATGGTGGTAAAAAATTAGTTAAAAAGAAAAAAAAAAAAAAACATTTATATTATATATCGTTATCTTATGTCGTCAAGCAAATCCCAATCCAAAAATCGAAATAAAAATGCAATTCGCAAACAAGCGAAGGAAGAAAAGGAATTACTTTATTCAACTAATTTTCCGCCTTATGCATTCAATCATCCTTATACTATAAATTTCATTAATAGATGTACGACATTTGATGAAATAGACAATATTATTTCCGTTGCACGTAATTCATCACACTATACAGTTGATACAGAAAGTGACTATCACACAAATGCTCCTGCTGTTATACAAGTTGCCTGTTTTCCATCTGATGGTCGATTGGTGGTGGTGTTAATTATTGAAGTTAATTTTCTTGCTGATAAGTCATCATTACTCTTTTCAAAATGTCAAGAATTATTTGATACAATTACACGTGCTGATGGACATATTTATGGATGGGGAAATGTTCGGGATGAACTTTCCCATTTTCTTTCTTTTTCTCTCTTTTCTTTTCCTTTATCTTCTCATTTCCATAACGTTCAACTGGTTTTTACAAAATGGTTTAATCAATGGACATCAATACAAACAACAAGTTATTCTGAAGATAATGATAATGTTAATGATGATGTTGTTGTTATTAATGCACCATTATATGATCCATCATTATTCATGCCAGCTAATGTAATTAACAAAATTAAAATGACCACTGGAAATCTTTGGAGTATTCAAGATGCTATGATTTATTTATTTCATCAATATGTATCGAAGAAAGAAACTCTTTGTAAATGGTCCATTGGTCTCGATTATCGTTTATCACACACCAATGTCAATCCTGCTTCTCATCGTCAACATCTGATCCTTTATGCCGCAAATGATTGTTTATCTCTTCTTCAAATTATTTTATTTATTCATGAACAACATTTATCTGGTTATGTTGATGGTGATGGATTTATTACACACATGGGAGAGTATTTTAGTTATTTACATAAAAAATATTTTCTTTTTTCTGCTGTAGTTAAAAATCAACCACGCTATGATTTGTTATTCAATGATGGTGAAGATGTGGAGAGTAGTAGGGAGTCGATGGCTGTTCATGATTTACATGAACGTTGTCCGATCTCATCCGAACCTCGAACACATGAAGAACAAATTAATACTCATCATCATCCATCACTTCATCATCAAGTAGGTCAGCGATTAACAACAGCTGACCCTACTTTAATTCAAACAACAATCACAACAACAACAACATTATTTCCATCAACTTCATCATATCCACTAGCTGCTGTTAATAATCAACAATTTACATCATCTGTACTTTTAGTTGAACCTGAAGTTTCAAGTGATCTTGCATTGGTTACAGATGAATTTCAGCAAGATAATAAAATCGTTAATGAAGATAGTGATATTCATCAAGATATTGAAGTTCTAGAACAATCTTCTGATATACAACCATCAATCAAAAGAAAAAAATCAAGAAGAAGACGTTCTCAAGCTGCTAAACTCCTTCGTAATCAACAATCCAGTATTCGACATCGGCGTAACCGATATATTTATGAAGTTATTCGCGACATAAATTGTTCTGTTAGTGATGCTAAATGTATATTACAATGTTATGATATAAAATATCTCAACATCAATCCGGTTGAATCAAAATTGTACATTGGTATAAAAAACGAACAATTGCAACAGTACTATGATCAACTACTGCCCGTCAATGTGTTTCTGTAAATCCAGGTGGAGGGGGGAGGTGTCAGGATCGCCATCTATGTCGATGGTCGATCCTTTTCACTCTCCCTCTCTCTTATATATATAAATATATAGTCATCCTTGTGGTGACTTAATTTGTTTGTTTTCTCGTTGTTTTCTTTTTTTCTCTTGGTTCTTCTTTTCTCTAGTCTGTTGTTGGTTTTTTCTACATCACGAACAGTTGTTCGTTTTTCTTTTTTTTGGAAAATAAAATCCATTAAGATCATCGGATCCTAACA